TACCTCAGTTTATTTTTCTGTGGTTTTGTTCTGTTGATTTTATTTTATTTTGTTTTATTTTATTTTTGTCTCGTTTGGGCTCCAAGTAGCTAGCTAGCTAGCTAGCTAGCTATGTAGTTAGTTAGCTAGCTAGCTAGGTTGCTAGGCAGCTAACTAGCTAGCTAGCTAGATAGGTAGGTAGGCAGCCTGCAACCTATCTATCTATCTATCTATCTGTCTATCTAGCTAGCTATCTGTCTATCTAGCTAGCTATCTGTCTATCTATCTAGCTAGCGAGCTAGCTAGCTAGCTAGCTACTTGTGTGCAGGTACCTGTTGAGGAGGCTGACGATCAATTCGCGAGTGACGAGCAGACCGCCGATTTTCGCCTCGACTTCGTTCAAAGCGTAAATTGCGTTTACCGTCACCTGCAAAACCCTAAACCCTAAACCCTAAACCCTAAACCCTAAACCCTAACATTTGCACTAAGGAATAAACCATAAGCCGTAAGCAATAGAGATGAAGTATACAAGCTTCAGTATAGACTAAAAATGTATACGCAATATATATAATACGCAATAAACCCTAATCCCTAAACCCTAAACCCTAAACCCTAAACCCTATATGCATAGAAGGGTTGTATGTAATGCGGGGTATTGTTGTATTTATGAGGGTTTTAGGGTTTAGGGTTTAAGATTAAAGTTTTGTTATACAGGGTTTATTATTAGGGTATAGTACTAGGGTTTAGAAATTAGGGTTTAGAAATTAGGGTTTAGGGTTTAGGGTTTAGGGTTTGCCTGAGGGTCTTTATCGTAGAGTGCATGATAAAGAGTTTGAACAATCCCAGCGTGCGTATAAAGCGAAGCATTTGCAGGTATAATCATTTGCTGCTGCGGGTTTGCTGCTGCTGCTGCTGCTGCTGCAGCTGCTGCTGCAGCGACTGCTTCTCGCTCGTCGTTCCCGCTGCCCCCACTGCTGCTGCTGCTGCTGCTGCTGCTGCTGTCTGCTGCTGCTAAACCCTCAAGAGAGAAGCCAGGGTTAGCAGCAACATAAACCCTAAATAGGCTGACTATACCTATTACACTCAAACCCCTAACATAACTTTGGTTGTCTGCTAAACCCTTTTCAATCGCAGGAGCGATGTACTCAACCATCGACGGCAGTCTAAACCACAAACCACAAACCCTAAACCCTAAACCCTAAACCCTAAACAATCAGCAATAAACGGTAAACTCTAAGCAATCAACAATCAACAATAAAAGATAAAGAATAAACAACAAACAATAAAGAATAAACTATCAACAATAAAGAATAAAAACCAGATCATAAACCCTAAACCCTAAACCCTAAACCCTAATAAGCCCTAAACCCTAAACCCTAATAAACCCTAAAACCTAAACCCTATAATAAGCCCCAATGTCTATGCAATTAGCACCCACACGACGCAATAAACAGCAAACCCTAAACCCTAAACCCTAAACCCTAAATCATAAGCATCCACACTACGCAGTAGACACCGAAAGCTAAACCCTAAACCCTAAACCCTAATTTAGGGTTAATTACCTTAGAGAACAGAGACTGCGTATTGCGAGGCCCCTCAACCTCGGGTCTGCATCTGCACAATCTTTTTGAAAAGCGTTTACAGCCAATATTGCTAGAGAAGGGTTTGTCTCTGCACGCTAAACTCTAAACCCTAGACCTTCTCTTGCATCTTCAGAGACGGTGGCTAAGGAGCCCTTCTCCCTCAAACCCCAAACGGCAAACGAAACCCTAAACCCTAAACCCTAAACCCTAAACCCTAAACCCTAAACCCTAAACCCTCAAACCCTAAACCCTAAACCCTAAACCCTAAACCCTAAACCCTAAACCCTAAACCCTAAACCCTTATTAAAACCCTTATTAAATGCGTATTTGCAGCATATACCTGCATAATTGGATAGATAAAGATAAACAAGTTTCTTCTGAATAATATCTGTAGTAGAAGACAGCATAATAACTTCAGCAAAGAGCGAAGAAACATCAATGCCTACAGTCATATAAGCTAATAAACGTTTTAATACATCTCTCTGTCTCTGTGCTTCTTTGCTTCGGCTTAAATGCTGCAGCAGCAAACGCAGTTCGTATAACTCCCCCTGAAATATAATAATTCGCAGACACAAACAAACAAACAAACAAACAAACAAACAAACAACCAAACAAAAATAAAATACTCAGCTTCGGAGGCTTTTTTATTTATTTTTATTATTTTTATTATTTGTTTTTATTATTTTTATTATTTTTATTTATTTTTATTATTTTTATTTATTTTTATTATTTTTATTACTTTTTTATATTTTTTAGGTTTTGCGGTTTGTTATTAGCAAATGTTTGTATGATTATAAAACCCTTTCTATCGAATAATATTATATATAATATATACAATATTATATATATATATATTATATATAATAATATATATATATGTATATTTATAGTAATA